GTGCGCGGGCCCTGAAGGGGGAGACAGGGGTGGGCAAGGGGAAGCTGGGCCTTAAGGAAGGGGGGTTCTGGAGGGGCAAGACAGAGATAGGCGGGGAGAAACGGGGCCTTGGGGTGGCTCTCGAGGGGGGAGACAGGGGTGGGCAGGGGGAAATGGGTCCTGGGGGGCCCTGGCCAGGACACCGGGCTTCACCCCCACCCTTCACACCATGTCCTCAGAGCCAGACACCATGCCAGGCAAGCGTCGCCCGCAGGCGGCAGCCCCTCTGGTGGCAGAGGACAAGCTCCTGCTGCTGCAGAGCCAAGCGCTGGCTGAGGAGGAGGCAGCCAAGAGGAAGAGGGAGCTGCTCACCCAGTTCCTGCAGGTGAATGGAGGGCAAGGGAGGGTGGGTGGTGTCACACTGCCCAGCCCCTGACTCCCTCCCCACGGCTCACGGCCCCCCCAGGACAAGCTGGCTAAGGAGAAGCGCGACAGCAGCCTGAACCTCCACAAGCTCAACACGCAGTGGCGGGGGGTGCTGCGGGAGACCAAGAACAAGGAGCTGCACCAGGACGTCGAGATCCTCAGCCAGACCTTTGAGAGGGTGATGGACTGCAAGGACAGCGTCATCGAGGTAAGCATGGGGCTGGCAAGGCAGGGGTGACCCTGGGACCCACCTGTGACCCCCTTCAATCTCCCCAGTCCCTGGCTGCAGACCTGGAGGAGGCAGAGGAGCAGCACGCCCAGGCCCTGCGCAGTCACCTGCACAACGTCGACCGCCTGCTGCAGCTCCAGCGCTGCCGCCTGACGTGCCTGGAGGAGGGGTACAACGCCCAGCTGGAGGCCCTGAAGGTGGAGTTTGAGGCTGAGAGGTACAAAGAGGGAGAGGGACAGGCACCTGCTGACTGTCCTGTCCTGGTGCTGAGCCCTCTCGTGGCCCGGTCGGGACTGCTGCAGCTTCCCTCTGTCAGCAGCTCCCCTGGGTTTTCCCCAGGAGGACCATCCTTGAGCAGCACGAACAAGAAAGCTGCTTCCTGCGGGATGTGGCACTGGGTGCAGAGCAGAATTACGCTGAGAGTGACCAGGAGACCATGCTGAATTTCCAGAGCGCCTGGGATGACATCAAGAACAAGGCATGGACAGGGGGAGGAAGCAGTGAGGAGCCTTTTAGGACTTGGAAGCAGACCATACAGCAAGGTTTGGGAGGTGCTGTGTCACCCAGACCCGTTTCTGTCCCCAGAGCCTGCAAGAAAAGCAGTACAGCCGCACGCAGCTGGGTGGGAAGGTGGAGGTGCTCTGGGAGCAGTTCCAGCAGACCACGCAGAGCTACATGGAGGCCACCGAGCACCAGATGGCTTTTGAAACGCTGAAGCAGAAGGTCGAGAGGAGTTCCAGGGATATAGAGCTGCACGTGAAGAAGCTACAAAAGCTCCAGGTTGCAACAGGGCACAGGGATGGCCGATGGGAACTGAGATGCCTCTGTCCCACTGCTCACGTTTTACCTGTTCCCAGGACTTGGTCACAGCCACCAAGGGCCAGATCACAGCTCACCTGCGGGAGAGCGAGGAGCAGAACCGGCCCATGCGGGAGAGGAAGGAAAAGCTCCTCAGGCAGCTCCAGGAGCTCAGGAGTGAAATTAACCAGGCCAGGGCAAAGGCCCACGGCAGCCTGGCCAGGCTCACGGCACAGAGTGGTGCTGCCCTGAAGACACTGGTGCGGGTGGTGGAGAAGGTGAGGCCGTGGGCAGTGGCAGCACCAGGGGGTTGTCGTTGTCTCCTCCCACCCCGCCCTCACCTAAACTACCCCCACCAGGGCCAGCGCATCCTGAGGTTGGCTGAGATGTGCCGCAGGCTGGAGACGGAGGAGGAGAAGGTGCTGCCCTTCTACCCTTCCTCGCTAGCAGAGGGGGAACAGCAAGATGCCCAGCGAGTCCTTGAGGAGCCACCCACAGAGTCCCTGGCCCAGGTGAGGAGGCAGCGCCGGGGTCCCAGGCGCCACTGTGGGGTCAGGATCTGGTTGTGGGAACAGCCTGGCTGGCATGTGGGCAGGCTGGGGACCCCCTGCCCTCCTCCCCACCTCTCTCGTGTAGGCCATGCAGGACTACGTGGGGCTGGAGCGCTTCTGGCAGCGGTTCAGCAAGGCAAAGCTGGAGGAACAGGCGCTGGAGCGGGAGCAGGCGGCGCTGAGGCAGAGGAACCGGCGGCTGCGGGAGCTGCTCCAGCAGTACCTGGCGGGGATCTCCGTCAGCCAGGAGATGCTGGACCAGCCCAGCCCCCTCCTTGCTGTTGAGCACAAGAGCTGTGTCCCCAAGGACTTGCCCCATGCCAAGGTGGGGCGTGCAGCCCAACAGCCTCCTGAGAGGAGGATGGTCACCCAGATGCCATCCATAGCTCTGCAAGCACCAGCTGAGAGTCCCCCCAATGAGACCAAGACACCCTGCCTGGCACTTGGAGACACCGCGGAGACTGTGACTGCCTGGAGATGCCATTAAAGAGCTAAACTGTGCCCAAAAACGTGTGCCAGGATCTTATTTCTGGGACTCACTGAGCTTTGTCAGGGCAGGTGTGGGTCTGTTGCCTCCCCACTCAGGTCTGACGTGTCACCTCCTCGGTCCCAGCAAGGCCAGAGCGGGCAGGGAGGTCGGGGGTGCAGTGCACAGCCCCTTTGTGCTGCTCTGTCCCCCTGCATCGCCCCCAGAGTGGGACAGGGCAGACACAGAACAGCCACGGATGCCAAGGGGAAGCTTTTATTTTTTTTTGGCTTTGTTCCTCTTCTCCTCCTTCAGCTTTTTCTTGGAGAGCTTGGGGCTGCTGGCCTTGCGGTAGAGGTGGTACCCGATGAGCCCCAGCAGCGCTGGCACCAGCCCCAGGCACAGCAGTGGCACCACCTCGTTCACCACCTTCTGCCAGTAACTGGCCCGGGACAAAGCCACCAGCTCCACCTCGAACCGCAGCACCGCATCACCTGGAGGGAGGGGGGGACACAGAGCCTGAGGGGGGGCTGGGGGGGGAGCTGGCAGGGAACCCACGGGGACTGAGAGAGGGGATTCTGCCACTTTACTCTGCTCTGGTGAGACCTCACCTGGAGTATTGTGTGCAGGGCTGGAGCCCTCAATAGAAGAAGGACATGGACCTGATGGAGAGGGTCCAGAGGAGGGCCCCAAGGATGATGAGGGGGATGGAGCACCTCTGCTCCGAGGACAGGCTGAGGGAGCTGGGGTTGTTCAGCCTGAGAAGAGGAGGCTCCGGGGAGACCTAATAGCAGCCTTCCAGTACCTGAGGGGGGCTACAGGAAGGCTGGGGAGAGCCTGTTTAGAAAGGGCTGCAGTGACAGGACGAGGGGCAATGGCTTCAAGCTGGAGGGGAACAGATTTAGATTGGAGATGAGGAGGGGGTTCTTTACTGTGAGGGTGGTGGAGCACTGGAACAGGTTGCCCAGGGAGGTGGTTGAGGCCCCTTCCCTGGAGATATTCAAGGGGAGGCTCGATGGGGCAACCTGGTCTAGTTGGGGGTGTCCCTGCTGACTGCGGGGGGGTGGGACTAGATGACCTTTGGAGGTCCCTTCCGGCCTGGGCGATTCTATGACTCTATGATGACTCTGAGGGCTGGGCTCACCTGGGATGGTGGGAGGGGAGCCCCGCTTGCCATAGGCCAGCTGAGGGGGGATGACAGCTCTCCGCTTCTCCCTGCCGTGGCAAGAGACCGTCAGCGCCAGTGCCCTGTGGGGCCAGACCCGTGCCAGACCACGCTACCCGCCCCCTCACCCAGCTTACCCCACACACATGTCCAGCAGACTCTGCTCCAGGCCTGCAAGGAGAGGGGGGAGAGGAGTGAGTGGGGCCGGCTCGGCCTGCCTGACCCCGGTTAAGCCCCCCTGCCCCCCACAGGCTCCCTCAGTGCCCCCCACCCCGTCCCCCTGCTCACCAGGGATGACTTGGCGCTTGCCCAGCTCCACCTGGAGCGGGTCCCGGCTCAGCGAGGTGTCGAAGATGCGGCCATCCTCCAGGCTGCCCTGTGGGGGACACGGGCACCATCACCCCCAGAGACGTGGCGGCAGTTCTGCCCTGGGGCTGTCCCCGTGTTGTCCCAGTGTTGTCCCAGTGCCGCTCTGGTGCTGAGCCCATTGTCCCCCCCGGCCAAGGAACACCCCCGTGCTGATCCCCGCGCCAGTCCCAGTGTCACCCCCCTGCTAACCCCAGTGCCACCCTGGGGACAGCCATCCCGCTCCCAGTGCCAGGGCCATCCCGGAACAATCCTTGTGCTGGTCCCAGTGCCAACCCATGCCCATCCCAGGGCTGTCCCCACGACAGTCCCAGTGCCACCCCATGCCATCCTGGGACTGTCACCATGCTCATCCCTCTGCCCACTCCAGCGTTGACCCTATGCCAGTCCCAGTGCCACTCTGGTGTCACCCCCACCTATTGCCACCCTCACGCTTGCCCCGGTGCCATCCCACCACCACCCCGGTACCGTCCCGGTGCCATCCCTACGCCTGCCCCGGAGCCGC